CGTGGTGAGCTTCAGAGCGTCTCTGTGCCCCTCTATAAAATAGAAATGCAGGTGCGTGCATCCCTCTGGGACTGAATGGGTTCAGTCAGACCGGGAACAGCACAGACCAGCGGGAGGCAAATTCCTCCTGGAAAAGGCCAGAGAGTAAATGTCTTTGGCTTCATAGATGTCTCCAGCTGCTCAGTTCTGCCAGTCTGGCACAAATGCAGCCACAGACCATACATACACAAATGGGCGTGGCTGTGTTCTAATACAATTTTATTTACAAAAGCCCCGGCATAGATCCTGGCACTTGCTAAATGCCATTCACACGTTAACTGTGATAATGAAGAAAAATGGCATTTCTGTCAATTCACCTCTGCAGACTTATGAAAGGCATAATTCTTCTTGTTGCGGTTCTGAAATCCAATACTAATATCAAAGGCAGGAGGGAGGACCCCCCCCCCGACTGGGGAGCGGCCCCTCCCACACTGTGAGATGCCCCTGGGTGCTTTCACCCCAGGCCTTCTCCTCTAATTTCCCGTATGAGGTTAGTGCAAAAGTAATGGCAAAGACCGTGACTATTTTTGCACCAACCTAATATTTACCTCCATGGCCACTCCTTGCAAGCACTTCTGCTTCCTGCATTCTACAGGAGGGGTTTCTAACCCAGCCCTTCACAGCATGAGGCCCCCAGCACTCCTTCCCTGTCCCTGCCCCTCCCTGCTGACCACAGCCCCTGCACTGTCCCCTGGCCTCAGAAAAGCATGAGCAAAGAAAATACTTTCTGAAGGCATCCAGGGAGAGAGTCAAGATGCTGTGGTCCCACCAGCGGCCAGCCCTGGGGTCACTGTCTGAGCCTCCGCTTACAGCAACACCAGTGGCCACTACGGACATGACAGTGGCGTGCTTCCTTTAAAAGTACTGAGAAGGGGCCAGGTGAGGTGGCTCACACCTATAATTGCAGCACTTTGGGAGGCTGAGCCAGGCCAATCACCTGAGAGCAGGAGTTAGAAACCAGCCTGGTCAACATGGTAAAACCCCGTCTCCATTAAAAATAAAGAAAAATTAACTGGGCATGGTGGTGGATGCCTGTGATCCCAGCTAGCTGGGAGGCTGAGGCAGGAGAATTGCTTGAACCCGGGAGGTGGAGGTTGCAGTGAGCCAAGATCATGCCATTGAGCTCCAGCCTGGGCAACAAGGAAGAAACTCTGTCTCAAAAAAAAAAAAAAGCACTGAGAAGACTTTCTGATTTATTTCTCATGCCAGTCCTATTGGAAGGTCATTTTTCCATTCCAGAGGTCAGTGTGTTCCGTGGGGCGACATCTGAGGTCCAGAGTCAGGGAGCCCCACTGCTGAGTCCCTCAGTGTCCCAAGACTCGACTCCCTGTCCAGTGTTCATGTAGACCTCACCCTGTGTGGTTCCATGCAGCTAAGATGAGGTAACCTGAGGCAGCAGTGAGAGGTTAAGTGATGACATTTCCTTATGTGGCTCTCTTTTCCCTTATCCAGAAAAAGGAAGTGAACATAGAGGCACAGTGTGACTTGTCCAATATCACACTGTCACTACCATGGGAGCTGGTCCTCAACACAGTTCCACTGACCAAGGCTTGTCACTCATACTGCTCAGCCCCCCAACAACAGTGGCCACTGCTCTGATCATTAGTTTCATTGTTAGCTAAAGAAGGACCCCAAATATGGGTGTGGAAGTTTGCTCTGACAAAGCTAAAGGAATAAACATTCTCCTGGCTTCTTCACCATCATCACCCTCATAAAGGTGCTACCTTTGCCCAGGGCCACACCTCTGATCCCCACACCAACCTAGCCGAGGAGTTCCCACTTCCCCTTTTATGCAGGAAACGGAGGCTCAGAGAGATTAATCCTCTTGCCCAAGATCATACCATGATGACGGATAAAGTACAGGCGAGTCCAACTTCAGAAGCCCTGCAGGTCGATCCCACTGCCACTGTGGGGGAAGGAGTGACCCAGGAGAACTGGGGCATACTGCAGTCATCCTCAGTCCCCCCAAGGGAGGTCCCCATTTAGTTAGAAAGCCCAGCCGAGAGGCACTTGCCCCATCACAGTTAAGTGAGGCAGGGCCTGAGTGGGAACCCTGGCAGTCTGGCTCTGAGCCCTAAGAGAGGCAAGGTCCACCCTTGAGGAGTTCAACAGAGCCACAGCCTGCAGTGGCCATCGCTGATGGCTTATGCATTAGAACTTGTTCCCTCTGCCACTTGTCCCACAGCCCAATCCACCTTACACACCAAGAGAGTAGGGCCACGGTCCTGTCACTTCCTCGTGCAGCCTTCCTGGCCAGGTGAAGGGGAGCCTGTCCCCCTCTCTCCCTGCACACGGCCCTCTGACAGCACGACAGTGTCCATGTAGTCACCTCTCCAGGACTACAGAGCCCCACCAAAGTGGGCCCACCTCTCAGGCCACCACCCTGTGGCCCATGTCCCCAGTCTCTGGGCAAGATCGGCTTAAGGAAAAGCTACACAAATAATCGCCCTGTATGTGTATAAAAAGTTCCGAGAGATCCACACAATCTTTCCAGCAGAGTCTGGGAAAACCACGATGATGGAACCTGAGAGCTGGGCTTTGTCATGAATCGTTCTCCAGATACACAAGGGAGGGGACATTTTTTTAGAGGAAAAAAAAGCACATGGGGAAAAACCTAAGTGTGAAAACCTGACTACACAACACAGAGGCAGCAGGTCTGGCTGAAACATCCTCGTGGAGAGAGGGGAGAGATGACCCAGGGAAGCCAGGATTTGAGGAACTCATAAGGTCGTCGGAGCAGTGGGAGCCATGGGTGGTTTGTGAAGGAGGAAAATGGCAATCATCTCATTCATTGGTTCCACACTGTGATCCTTTGGGGGCTGCTTACTGTAAAGACTCCAGGTAAGAATTACCCCAGACTCTGAAGCGGGGAAGTTCAGCATTACAGACCCATACACGTTTCAACAACAACAAAAATCTTGCAACAAGCCACAAGCCTCCGCCACAACATCAGTCTCTGCAGAGCCCAAAGGTCTTGAGGTGGGTAGCAATGCCCTGCTAGGAAAGGATCCTAACCCCCCACGTCCCCGCTCCATCCGCGAATGTGTCCCTCCGTCTTGCCCATCCCAGCTAGTGAAGCCAACTCCCGCCAGCCCAGGGAGCCAGAGGAAGGGCCAGCTCCTCCCATGGCCTCGCCCTCCACACCAGCGGGTTGCTCTGACTTACAGGGAATGGCCCCGCTATGCCCAACATTCACTGTGGGTGGAGCCCTGGGAGAGGGGCTGAGGCTGCCCCTGCCCTCTCCACCTCCTCCTCTGCTCTGGGAGGCAGAGGCCATCAAATGGTAATAGTATCCTGGGACAGCTCCACCGCCCAGGCAAGCTCAGGATGGGCAGGGGGATCTCCCTGACCTTAGTCTACAAGGAGCTGTCCAGATGAAGGAAGGGCGTTCCCGGAGAAAGTACAGCACGGGCAAAGGCCAAGGACAGTATGCCTGCGAGTGTGTACAGATGGGGCGGGCGGCGGAGGAGGGCTGGCGGTTAGATACAGTATTGCTGGAGCTCAGAGAGCCGGGCAGAGGCAGGCGGAGATCCTAGGCTGGCCCAGCCTTCAGGTGACGGGCGGGTTGGGGTGTGTGGGGAGCAGGGTGCTTCTAAGGCAAAAAGAAGCTCCAGCCTCGTAAGCAGCCTCCATCCGGGCTGCCAAGGCCGGATCCTCCGGAGCCCACAGCAGTGAGGATGGAGCAATGGACCGAGGGGCTGGGGGCGAGGCCGCCGCGCACTGATTGACGCAGGTCAGCGAGGTTGCTAGCTTGGACGCAGGGCGCTGGGCAAGGTGTCTGGCACTACAGGAGTCAATCCTTGCGCGCCATCTCCGGAGGCCAGTGCGCCCAGGGCGCGCAGGCCCGGCAGGAGGGTGGGTGCCAGCCTTTCTTTCCAGCCTCCTCCCCGGCGCCCACGTGGGCGGGGCAGCGCGAGGGTGTGCGTGGCAGGGGCCGCGGCGGCGTGTGCCGTGCGTGGGGTAGGGTGCGGGCTGGGCGGCCTCACCCTCGGGCTCCCCGCCGCCACCAGGGCGCGGTCCCCAGCTCCATCTTTGCCACCTGGGCGGGGATCTGGGGGACAGCGACCTACCCTACGGAGGGGACCGGCCGGCCACGCCCCCCGCGCCACTACCGCAGGCACCGGGTGGGTCCCCCCTCCCGCTCCTTGGCTTGGGGGCGGAATCCGGAAAGGAGTGAAAATAGGGGTGGCGTGAAGGAGACACGGGGGCTGGGGGCGGGGCCGGGTGGGGGTGTTGGGGGAAGCGATGCAGCGGCTGGGAGATTTTGCAGGGGGCTCTGAAGAGGAGTGGGGGATGGGTAAGGAAGGGTGGGGGGCCACTGGGGTGGGATGCAAGAGGGGAAGGGGATCCGGAGGGGGCACGACGGCCAGAGGAGAGGGAGGTGGGCGATGGGGCGGGGCGGCACCGGTCACAGCGTCCCTCGCCGCCGGGTCCGCCCCTCGGTCGCGGGGTCCACGGGTTCCCTCTGGCAGGCGCGCGGCCCCCCCGCCCCAGGCGCACCTGTACCCACCTGCTCGGCGCTCAGGCCCGAGCCGGGCAGCAGCAGCTGGCGTAGCGAGCGCAGCCCCGCGCCGCATCCTTCGGCCGCCCCCTCCCCGCTGCGAGCTTACGCCGCTGTCGCCGCCGCCACCGCCTCAAAAAGGACAAAACGGAACAGAAAATAAACGCATGCACAAAAAAAAAATCGTAAAAAGCAATTGAGGAGGATGGCAGTCGCGCGCGCGGCTCGGCGAGGCGGGAATCGAGAGGCCGCGGCGCTGGTGGCCGCGCTCGGGGCAGGCGGCCGGCGCGTGCCGCACGCGGGTGGCTGCGGCTCCCTCGGCAGCCGGCGCCCGGCTCCGGCACGGCCCCGCCCCTCCCCGGGGAGCCCCTCTGATTGGTCTGTCTTCCCGCCAGTCAGGCAGGAGGGTGCGGCACGCGGCACCTGCCCCGCCCCGCCCCCGCCCCGGGCCGACGCTGGAGCGCTTTGCAGCCGCGGGAGGGGGCGCGGAGCCGCTGGAGCGTGCGCACTGGGCCTGCGGCCGGCCGGGGCACAGCTGGGGTCACCGCGCTGAGGGCCCCTGCCGCGCCTGGCACCCGGGCGTCTCGCTGAGTCGGAGCAGTCCCAGGGAGAGGCTTTCAGGCTCTGGTCAAGACTCGGGCCCCGGGAAGCTGTCCCTGCCCTCGGGGGCTCGCGCCGAGAGTGGGGCTGGCAGGTAACGCGGGGCAGGGGTCGTCCTGGCCGTCAGTGGTCAGGAAGACGCAGCGACCCTGGAGACTCATGCTTGCTCTGTATGGATGAGAGGTATGAAGGTCAGAGGTTAAACTGCACGCTAAAGGCGGCAGAGCCAGCGAAGGGCAGGGCCAGGTGGATGCCAGCCTAGGGAGTCTCCCTCTTTGCTGGGGCAAAGCCACATCACCAGGTCCTTGCCAGATGAACTATGTGCTGTCGAGATGAGATTCGAGAGGAGCAGGATTCAGCTGGGCACTCATTCATTCAGTGTCATTCAACAAATACTCATTGAGCACCTACTGTGTGCCAGGTAGTCACTAAGATGTGGGGACACCACCGTGAACAGCAGAGAGGAAGAAGCTGCCCACCAGAGCTTACTTTCTAGCAAAGAGAAGGTAGGGAAGAGCACCCACCAAAGGGGGAAGCATGGAGGGAATGGGGGGGGGGAGAATGGGGCATATATGAGATTCTGATAAAAGGATCTGGGCCACAGAATGGTGAGAGGGAGAGTGTGGAAGATGGGGGCCAGGGGCACAGAGGGCAGCGCTTGCAAGGTCTTGCCGGCCATGGAGAGTTTGGAGACTGTCTCACCTGGAAGGTGTTCCGTGGAACCATTGTCAGATTGATATTTTTTAAAGTCCACAGTCAAGATAAGCTATGTTAGCCACAGTAACAACCAAACCCAAATCTCCCTGCTTGTGTCTTGCCCACATCGTACACATCCTGCCTCGGTCAGTGGGGCTGTGTTCATCAGAGCAGTCGGGAGCCCAAGCTGCTGGGGCTGTCTCCCAGCCAAGCACCCATATGGTGCAGCAGTGAGAATTGAAGGTGACAATTATGCTGGCTTTGAAAACTTCCACCCCCAAAGGACTCACATCACTTCTGCTCATGTTTCATTGGCCAGAGCATGTTCCATGACTATGCCTAACTTCAGAAGAGGAGGAAGTGTGGACCTCTAAGGTTCAGGGAGTCAGGAGGAACTAGGATATTTGTGAGCAGATGTGAGACTATTCTTAGCAGAGGCACGTTGGTGCATGGGCTGAAGTAGTCAAGAGTGGGGACAAGGAGGCAGCATGGAGACCTCCCCGGTGCTGACACAGTGGAGTATCAGCACATCAGAGGGGTCTGGGTGCTGATTGGCAGGCCTTGCTCTTGGGGTGGATGTGGGCAGGAGGGATGCAGGGACAATCAGGGACAATGCCCAAGTATTATGGAATGAATTGTGTTTCTCCCCCCACCCCTCAAAAAAAGAAAAAAACTCATATGTTGAAGTGAAGTGCCACTCCCAGGACATCAGAATGTGACCTTACTTGGAAACAGGGTCATTGTACATATAATTAGCTGAGATGAGGTCACACTAGAGTAGGCGGTTCCCTAATCCAGTCTGCCTTCTATCCTTAGAAAAGGGGTATTGGATACAGAGATACAAGCAAAGGGACAATGCCATGTGAAAATGAAGGTAGAGGTCAGGTGGAGGCATCAGCTAGCCAAGGAATGCCAAAGATGGGAGCAAAAGCCTGGGAGCCAGGAGAGGGGCCTGGGACAGATCCTTCCCCAGAGCTTCATAGGGGGCGTGGACCAGCTGACACCTGATCTCAGACTTCTAGCTTGCAAAAGGGAGAGTGCATTTCCCTTTAAAAAGCCCAGCTGGTGGTACTTTGATACCCGTGTATAGGTTGGGGTTATGTCTGGCTATGAGTAATCAGGATCGCAAGTAGACAGTGGCTTAAACAGATTTTTATTCTTCTTAACAAGAAACCCAAAGGCAAGCCATTCCTCTCTTTATCTTCTCTCACGCCTTCACCCTCAGGATGTAATTTTCTTTTTCAAAGTGTCTTCTAGGTGGCAAGATGGCTGCCTCTTCCCAAACATCTCATCACTATTCCAGTCAAGAAGGGGAAGAACAAAAGGCATACCCACACCAGGTCAGCTCCACTTCACTGCTTTCCTGAAAACTCTCCCAAGAGAACTATGCTTTATTGCATTATTTCATTGGCTGGGACAGTGTCCCATGGCCACCCCTGGCTTCAGAGGGGGCTGGGATTTTTTTTTTTTTTTAAGATGAAGTCTTGCTCTGTTACCCAGGCTGGAGTACAGTGGTGCCATCTCAGTTCATTGCAACTTCCGCCTCCTGAGTTCAAGTGACTCTCCTGCCTCAGCCTCCCAAGTAGCTGGGACTACAGGCACGTACCACCATACCCAGCTAATTTTAGTATTTTTAGTAGAGACAGGGTTTTGCCATGTTGGCCAGGGTGGTCTGGAACTCCTGACCTCAGGTGATCTATCCACCTTGGTCTCCCAAAATGCTGGGATTACAAGCATGAGCCACCACACCAGGCCAAGGATATTTTTTCTTTTTTAATTGAAGGTACATTGCTGCCTGAAACAAAGTTGGTTCCATTAGTAAGGAAAAGAAGAAAGACTTTTGAACAAGCAGCGAGTGGTTGGTTCATCCAGGTTTTGTAAAACCCGGGGCATCTACAATTTGGGCAGCCCCCTTAGGAAGAAGAATTTTAAAATCCCAGTGAGGTCGGGCGCAGTGGCTCATGCCTGTAATCCCAGCACTTTGGGAGGCTGAGGTGGGCAGATCACGAGGTCAAGAGATCGAGACCATCCTGGTCAACATGGTGAAACCCCGTCTCTACTAAAAATACAAAAATTAGCTGGGCATGGTGGCACACCTGTAATCCCAGCTACTCAGGAGGCTGAGGCAGGAGAATTGCCTGAACCCAGGAGGCGGAGGTTTCAGTGAGCCGAGATCGCGCCATTGCACTCCAGCCTGGGTAACAAGAGTGAAACTCCGTCTCAAAAAAAAAAAAGACAAAAAATACCTGCGTGTGGTGGCATGCTCCTATAATCCCAGCTACTCAGGAGGCTGAGGCAAAAGAATTGCTTAAACCCAGGAGGTGGAGGTTGCGATGAGCCAAGATCACACCATTGCACTCCAGCTGGGCAACAGAGCAAGATTCCATCTCAAAACAAAAAATAAAAACCAAAAAAACCAAAAACAAACAAACGAAACCCAGTACAAGACTTGGTACAAAAATCAAAGCTTATTTAGAATAACAACAAACCACAACACATTTTCAAATATTTTAAGTTGACAAATATCAAAAACACTAGAAAACTAATATAAAATTGTATTAATTGGATACCTGACATCTACCTTTATAATATCTTTTTTTTTTTTTTTACATTTTTTGGCTTCTTCATCATTTTTGATTACCTCCTCAGAAGCCAATGATTTTGTAATGTTTTTCCTGTGGAGAAAATAGATAATTCAGAGTACTCCTATAATGATGGGAACAAATCTTCATGTTGGTTGAAAAACTTTTTGTCAGCCTCATAACTCGTCATTGGTAATGCCATGTAGTTTTTTGAGATTGTTTTCAAATTTGGAGTAAGGTCTATCATTCTTTCATAAGTAAATGCTAAGAATTGGAAGAATTCTACTTCTTCCAGGTTTCTTATTGGGATTCTATTAATTTTCATGATGAAAAGCAACTGAACAATTGCAAAGGAGAACATGACTAGACCAGCGCCTCCTAAACCTCAGTGCCGGTGCCCAGCACCTGGAGACGCATAGGAGAAATGCAGATGTCCAGGCTCCTCCCTATCCCACTGAATTGGAGCCTCAGAGTAGCAGGGCCCAGGAATCAGTATTTTACTGAATGCCCCATGTGACTCTAATACCTGCTGAGCAGTCCTAGGTTAAGTGAGCCCCCAGTTGCCTCATAACTGCAAATCTGCAAATCCAGACCTCTCCTGTTGGAAGAATTACATTTTAAACCTCATGCCTCTTCCTCTGCCTATAGACCCTTGTGCCAGGCACCCTGGCACAGATGCCAGTGCCATGGCGAGGAGGGCACTCCTGGGAGCCATTAGCCTGTTCAGGGAGCAACAGCTCAACCCACACAGACTGGCTCAGTCCCACATAAACATACCCCACTAAACCCAAACCAAAGCATCCCCAACTCAACCCCACTTCAGCTGCATCCCTAAAATGCCCTTGGCCTCCGCAGCAGCTCCCAAGTGAGAGGAAGTGATTCAGGAGGCAGAGGGAAAGAGAGAGGGCGTTGTGGGTGGGATTGTGTCCTCCAGAACTTGAGTGCTGAAGCCTTAACCCCCAGGATCTCAGAATGTGACTGTATTTGGAGACAGGACCTTTAAAGAGGTCGCTGAGCTTAAGTGAGGTCTTTGGGGTGGGACCTAATGCAATATGCCCGGTGTCTTGCAATATGCCTGTCTCTTATAAGAAGAGATGAAGACACAGAAGGGAGCCCCATGTGGAGACACAGCGCGAAGGCGGCCATCTGCAAGCTAAGGAGAGGGGACTCAGGAAACCAACACCCTGATCTCAGACTTGAAGCCTCCAGAACTGTGAAGAATAAGTTTGTGTTGTTTAAGGTCTTCAGTCTGTGGGATCCTGTTATGGCAACCAGCTTAGCCAGTTACAGCTAAAATATCTCGCTTTTGTGAAATACGTCCAAATGCATGACTATATGAACCCAGAGCTCAGGCCTTGGACAGGTCTGTACTTAGCGTCACAGGGAATCCACCCCCACTGCCACCACATGATCACTGCATAATCCTCAGGACAACCTCTCAGGCAGGAAGGCAGGTCTCCCAAGATCTCCCTGTTAGGGACAAGAGGCTGGGGCCCAGGGGCTCCCTCACAGCAAGCAGCGTGAAAGCCACGAGCCTTCCAAAGCCAAAACTGCTCTCCCCACCCCGTGCGCCCTGAGCCCATACCTGGAAGTGGTAGGGAGACAGGTTTCAGCTCCCTATAAAGACTCACATTCTCATCAGAGGGGCTTCTCCCTGTGAGCACCTGATGCCTGTGATGGGATGGCCACTCGCAAGGATGCTGGAAAGAAACTTCAGTTCCTGCTGCTCAAGAGATGTGGATTAGAGTGTGGTCACCACCACCACTGCGGGGCTGGGCTGCCGAGATTAAATCCCAGCTTTGCCAGGTACCCGTGGTGACCTTAGACAAGTTAGTGAAACCTCAGTTTCCTTATCTGTAAGATGAAGCTTATAATCATAACTGCCTGGATTTGGGTGGGGATTAAGTGAGTTATTATATGTGGATCTGGGTTTGTTTCCTGGGCTACCCTAATACGGTATCACAGACTGGGAGGCCTGAAACCGCAGACATTTTTCTCACAGTTACGCCACACCAGGGTCTACAGTCAGGATATTGGCAGGGCTGTGCCTCCCTAACGGCTCTAGGGGAGGATCCTTCCTGGCCTCCTCCAACTCCTGGTGGCTGCAGGAGTTCCTTGGCTTGCGGCCGCATCACTGCAGTATCTGCCTCCATATTCACACGTCTTCCTCCTCTTTGTCTGAGTGTCTTTTATAGGGACGCTTGTCATTAGATGGAGGACTCACCCAGATAATCCAGAAGGATCTCTTCTCAAGCTCCCCAACTTAATCATGTCTGCAAAGACTTTTTTCCAAATGAATTCCCACATCACAGGTTCCAGGATGTGGACGTATCTTTAGTTATTATGTATTTGGACGTATCTTTAGTTATTATGTATTATACAGTTATTTATCTACAGCTGTGATAATTCTAAAGGAGGAGAAGAAGGTGGTAGGAGATCATGTAACATGGAGCTTGGCTTGGTCTGAGGGGTGGGGAGTCTTCCTTGAGCATTAGCTAGCTAGAAGAAGAGAAAGAATGTCCCAGGCTGGTGAACAGGGACATGAAGGCCAGGAGTTTGGATTTGACCTTCAAGTTGGCAGGGAGACGTGGGGGTTCTTGGGGCAGAGAGTGAGTGGCAGAATTAAAGGGGGCCTGTGAGCATGTGTGGAAGAGCAACCTGACCCCACCAGCCCTGTGGAAGGTCCCACCCACACTGGCGCACATTTGCTGTGCTGGTGCTCTGCCTAGGCACCAGAAACACAGCAGGAAAATAGCTGTTTCTGCCCCTGAGGGCTCATGGGCTAGTGGTAGAGACAGAAGAGCACATGGATCATTACGATGGGGTAGCCCAGGGCTATAGAAGTGCAGAGGAAGGGATCAGGTGCAGTGTCTGCTGTCTATAATCCTAGTGCTTTGGGAGGCTGAGGCAGAAGGATCACTTCAAGCCAGGAGTTCAAGCCAACCTGAGCAGCATAGCAAGACCTTGTCTCTACAAAAAAAAAAATTAAAATTAATTAGCCAGATGTGGTGGTAAGTGCCTGTACTCTTGGCTACTTGGAAGGAGGTTGAGGTGGGAAATTCGCTTGAGCCCAGGCCAGGAGTTCAATGCTGCAGTGAGTTGTGATCATGCCACTGTACTCCAATCTGGGCAACAGAGCGAGACCATGGCCAAAAAAAAGAAAAAAGAAAGAAAGAAAAAGCAGAGTAAGGGCTGCTTAGGGAGTCCAGAGAGGCTTCCTAGAGGAGAAAACAGTTGAGCTGAGATCGGACAAGGAGAGCAGAACCAGACATTCCATGCAGAGGGACCAGCATGTGCAAAGGGCTGGAAGCATGAGGACCATGACATGGATTTCCCACCTGCATCCCCAGGAGGCCAGAAAAGGTTGGAGAGTCTGGCAAGGCCAGATCGTGGGGAACCCTGAAGGCCACCCTGGAACATCTGCTGATTTGTGAATTTTGAACAGGGCACTGCTGTTTGAACAGGGCACCTTTGCATGGAGGCTGATGGGAAGGTGGATACTAGGGGCTTTTGAACTGATTAACATGAGGGAGGTCACGGGCCAGAGCCAGGGCAGTTTGAGCCACGGTCCTGGAAGGACAGGCCAGGACCCTTTAAGTGGTGTTTCTCTCCCCTCTGCCGGGTGGTTGAAACTGGCCCACCTTGTAAGCCCTGCCTTCTAGGCAGTGGGCTGTCCAGGGCGAGAGGGAGGATGGCAAACAGCCAAGCATGTGCTGCAGCAGGCACTGATTTAAATACTTTCCAAGTTTGTTGTGGGT